TGGGGGGGGTGCGGGGTGGGGTGCGTGGGTGGTAGCGCCAACCTCCTCCCACACCCCCCACCCCCGCGAACAAATCGCTTCTTTCAAATAAACTGAATGTGGAGGATTAACTATTCGACTGCGGGTAGCATCGCTGGCGAAGGAAGGACCCCCTCTCCACTCCCCCCCCGCCACTCCCAACCAACCCCGCAGTGGACTGAGAGCTGACTGGGGCGGGGGAGTTGGGGGGGGGGGGCAGCAGGACGTTCAACTACAGTGTTCCTCACCAGCTGACAGGACGACTGCCGGGTTTGGGGCTCGACCGCTGGGGCTGCTGCAACATTCGACTGCGGGGGGCATCACGCTGACACTACGCGTGCGGTGCTCGATGATGATGCGGTGGGGGAGGGCTGGGGGTTGGTGGGGGGGGTGGGGGGTGGGTTTTGCAATCCTGTCGGTCAGTCGGCTCGACTGTGGGGGCATCGCTCAGTGGCGAGACATTTAACGGGAGGGGCATTGCCGCCTGGGAGATATTCAACTGCATGGGGCATCGCCGACCGGCGAGATATTTGACTACAGGGGCATTACCAACGGGTGAGATATTTGACTACAGGGCAATCGCCGAGCGGATGAATCTGAATTCCGATGGCGACAGGTGTGGGGATTGGTGGGTTCCGAAGCGACAGGACATCCCCCCGCCCCAACCCCGGGGGTGCGCCATACCCACCTTTGAGCAGGAGGACGGGTGAGGTCAGGTCGTCGGTGCCGCTGCCCGAGATGCCGGCCTTGCAGACGTATTCGCCGGGGTCCTCGTCGGTGACGGTGCCAAAGCGGAGCCGGCTGGAGCCCCCATTGGCCATCAGGCTGAGGCGATCCCGGTAGCTGGGGTGGACCCAGGCCGCGTTCCCCCTCCCCTGGTCGATCTGCGCCAGCGTCACGTTGGGGTGGCGCTGGGAGGCCCAGGCCAGGCGGTACCGGGTCTCTGGCTTGGCGTTCACTGCTATCACCTGGCAGCTCAGCGTGGCAGGGGAGCCCAGGCGGGCAGTCACCCTCCCGGACGTGGTGAGGGCCACGACCCGGGCGCTGGGTGTCTGGCGCTGCGGGGCACGGCTACCGGGCACCGGGGGGACCGGGGTCTCTGCCACTGGGTCTACAGAGAGGGGTTCTGGCGGGGAGAGAGAGAGGGGAGAGACAGAGACAGAGAGAGAGAGAGAGGGAGGCAGTGTGAGAGAGAAAGAGAGAGAGAGAGATAAGGAGAGAGAGAGAGAGAGACAGAGACAGAGAGAGGGAGGGAGGGAGAGAGAGGGAGGGAGGGAGGGAGTGAGAAGGAAGAGACAGACAGAGGGAGAGAAGGAGGGAGAGAGGTGGAGAAGGGGAGAGAGAGAGAGAAAGAGAGGGGGATGGAGAGGAAGAGAGATGGAGAGGGGGAGAAAGGGAGAGGCAGGGAGGGAGTAAGAGGGGACAGACAGAGGTGAGGTGGGGGGGGG